CTAGTAATTTAAACAGTTGATGAGCTCCATATGCCTATGTCAACCACCACCCAGCCTACAAAGACTTTGGCTCTGAGTACTCTTTCTTAATAAAAAAAATAAAAACACGATAAATTTTGATATAATGAAAAGAAATTTAAAAAATATTATATAGTATTTTAGGATTAAAAATACTATGAAATTCAAACTCTGGTTTTTAATAATATCAACAAATGAAAAAAAAAAGATTCCTTCTAGTTCAAATAATTTTAATTTCACTGCTGCATGATTTCCACGAGTCCATGCCATGTCACGTTGCTAGCAATGGTTGTCTTCCGCCGCGTGTATGGAATCTGCCACGTGGCTGGCAGTGTAGGCCTAAGAACATGATTATAAGTGGTAAATAATAGTAAATATAAAAAAAATTAATATTATAAAAATTTTATATTTACCTAAACTATTTTTGAATTTTTAAATATATAATCTATATTATCCATATTTAATAGATAAATATAACATATCTCTATCTTTTTCTTCTTTCTTTTTCTATTCATCAATTCCAATACAATTAATATTATAAAATTTATATATTATCCCAATCATATTTACTATCTATAATCATGTTTTAAAAATAATTATGAAAGATAAATAAAAATAAATATAAAATATTTTTAATATTATAAAATTCTTATATTTATCTAAATAATTTTTAAGTTTATAAATATAGAATCTATATTATTCTGATTAAATATAATATTTATCTCTATCTTTCTTTTTTTCTCTTTTTATTCATCCATCTCAATACAATTAATATTATAAAATTCATATATTATCCAAGTCATATTTATTACATATAATCATGCTCTGACTTGTGCAATGTTATGTTGTTGTATTAAGAGAAGTGACTCGCCGGAGAGACACGAGGTAAAGGTAATGATGGCACATGCCACGTTTACGCCGGAAGGTCAGATAACGGAGTCGTTTCGGCTCTTGAGCGGCCACAAAATCCCAGCCGTTGGATTGGGCACGTGGCGATCTGGGTCTCAGGCCACTCACGCCGTTTTCACTGCACTCGTAGAGGTTTTCTTCTTCATACGGACTCCAGTTACAAGTTATATTCAGACAAGATCATCATTTGATGTTGTGTAATTAAATTATAATCTTCCATGGAATTTGCAGGGTGGTTATAGGCACATAGATACTGCATGGGAGTATGGTGATCAGAAAGAGGTCTCTGTCTTTTTTTACTTGCTCTTTGGATCTTGTCTGAAACTTGTTGAGTTTCCATGTGACACAAAAAATCTTACTCTGTTTTTTAAGGTCGGTGAAGGGATCAAGAGGGCGATGCATGCTGGTATTGAGAGGAGAGACCTCTTTGTGACATCGAAGCTTTGGTAAACATCTTTTTTTAACCGATTCATTTCTTTGAAACTATGAGAGAGATCTTTGGTACATGTGAAATTAAAGGTGCACAGAGTTATCTCCTGAGAGAGTGCGTCCTACTTTGCAAATTACTCTTCAAGAGCTTCAATTAGAGTATCTTGATCTCTACTTGGTATGAATCAAGTTTTTAGTCTTTCTTTTTACTATTTTTATTTTTCTCTATTTACAATTTCAAATTTGTGCAGATTCACTGGCCTTTCCGGCTAAGTGAAGGAGCTAGTAAGCCACCAAAGGAAGGAGACGTCTTTGACTTCGACATGGAAGGTGTTTGGAGAGAAATGGAGAAGCTTGCTAAAGACGAACTTGTCAGGGACATTGGTGTTTGTAACTTCACCATAACTAAGCTCAATAAGCTTCTAGCAGTCGCTGAATTGATCCCTTCCGTTTGTCAGGTATAGGTTCTAAATATCACAGTCTTATCATTTGTAAGTTCCATCAAATTCATATGCATTTGTTGAGTTTGTTATCACTTATCAGATAGAAATGCATCCTGGTTGGAGAAATGATCAAATGCTCCAGTTCTGCAAGATAAATGGGATCCATGTAACTGTAAGTACTAATATCATGTCACTGCACAAATGACTCACTGCTTAAATGTTTGTTAAATTCATGCCTGCGATTAGTACACACGATTGTATCGGCGGTTTCAGTCCTTAATCTGATAATGGTAATGGAATCGATTAAAACTTGAAAGGCTTATTCGCCATTGGGATCTCAAGAAGGTGGGAGATATCTGATACACGATCAGACGGTAGATAGGATAGCGAAGAAGCTGAACAAGACTCCGGGACAGGTTCTAGTGAAATGGGGTCTACAGAGAGGAACAAGTGTAATCCCAAAGTCTTTGAATCCAGAGAGGATCAAAGAGAACATCAAAGTGTTTGATTGGGTGATCCCTGAACAAGACTTCCAGGCTCTCAGTAGCATCACTGACCAGGTGAACTAACTTAATTACCAACAAATTCGTATCATGAAATCACAGTCACTGCTTTAGGTCATTTACTGTTAGTGAGAAACAGAGCACTTCTTTCTTTGTTGTCTTCTCTGTTTTTGCAAAAGAAAATTAATAATATTTGCCCAAGGTGTTGCTTATTCCACTCTGTGCTTGATCCTCTGTTTACTTTTTTTGGTCTTCTTTGGCCTCGGTGCAGAAGCGAGTGATGGACAGTGAGGATATTTTCGTCAACAAGATCGAAGGTCCACTCCGTAGCGTGGCTGATATTTGGGACCAGGAAGACTAATACCAACCAAAGTATCGAATAAAGTCATGTAAGGTGTTTGTTGTAAATAGTTTCTAAAATAAAGAAGTGAGTTTTGCAACATTTCCTATGGATGTATAGTTTCTAAAACTCTGAAAACATTATGCCATTAAGCTACCCTCCGTAACAGAGGAAAGTTGTTGTTGTACAGCCAAAACCGATGCAGTGAGCTTGAGGTCTCTCGAGACGAGCAAATCTCCAATCTCTCCAAGTTCCTCGTTCTCGCTCCATACCGATAATCCTTGAAGCACTTCAAAACTCTCTTCGTGTCTGATTCCAACCATTATTAGATCGTAATTGTTTCCTTCTTCCCTCAGTAGAGTTACAAGATCACTAGCCTCCTTTATCATTACCTAAACCAACCAAAACGAAAGGTCAAGCTAAACCGGAATCGAAAATCCGAGAAAAATGTGATTCTTCGGTTTATTAAGTTCTTCTTACCTCTTGTAAGAAGACGTTGTGTTTGTTCATGGTGTCTTGACGGAATTTTTCAATGGCTTTGAAATCATGCCTCCTCTCTATGACGTCGTTTAGCTGCGAGACGTATTTGCCCTCGACGAGCATAAGAACGTTTAGATTTAGGCAGGGGTGGTTCGTCATCCTGACCGCAAACGCCAGTGTCTCGCGGTCGTCCGCTCCACCGAGGAATATCGAGCAGACGTTGATTGTCATTGAGCTGTTCTTCGTGTTCTTGAAATCTGGAAGCAGTCCTTGGTCCATGAGAATCGCGACAGAGCACGGCGAGCCATTCAGGACGTTGCGACAGAGTCGTCGCTCTGCTGCGGTCCCTTCGTCAATCCCTATGATAATGAGATCGGTTTCTTTGTCGAAGGCCAACGCGCATACATCCTCGTGCATCGTCTTGCTCGGCGCAACGGCCGTGTAACATTCGACGGAAATGTTTTCTTGCAAAACGTGTCTCTTAAGGAAGTTCTTGAAGGCATTCGAGACCTGATCTCTTCGGTTGGAGGACACTGATGTGTCTTCCTTGTGATCAAACTGGTGTTGGATAAGGAGAGGGACGTTATGGTGCTCGAGCTCTTCGAGATTGACGGACACGACGGAGAGCGAAGAGGCGCTCGAGGGACAAGAAGAGAGCTCTAAGATAGTGAGAATGGAAGTAACGGTCTCGTGTTGGTAGAAAGAAGTGAGGATCTTGAGAGGGTTGTTTGGTTCGTAGTGTTGAATGGTTTGTCGCCGGTAAATGATGTGTTTCCGCTGCGCCCAACCGTAGAGGTTCTTGACTATGGCCGTGAAAATAATTGAGTGAACCATCGCTGAGACCACCATTATACCGAATGCTTCCTGGCTTATATTCTGCATCCCTTAAAACAATATTCAAGATCATTAACATTTGATATTATGTAGAGATAGAGAAACCGTTATTAATGCATATGGATTTACCTTGTAGTTCAACAATTGTTTGAAGATTTGGACATCGTAGATCCCTTGTATGCAGACGATAAACCCGACAATCGCGGCGTGTGATAAAGGAACCTTGAAGTAAAGCGATGGCACGACGATGGAAGCAAACTTTGCAGCACTGATGGTAAAGAAAAGCAACTCCAGAGTAATGACGTCTCGTCCTGTAAACGCAAAGCAATCGACTTTGTTACCAATCCCGATGACATAACACGGCATAAGAACCACCCAACAGAAGCAGCCGATCTTGTCGGTGAGACCTGCACCGAGAGGAGGGGTCTTAGGAGTGACGAGACCGAGAACCACAGATCCGACTACGTAAGGAAACCCTACGGCTTGGGACAGGAAAGTGACGGTGCACAACATGATGCAAATGATGCATAAATGCAAACTCTTCAGTTTCTTTCCTTCATGTGTTCTCTTCACTAACCATTTGAATATTGGTCGACACACAACTACTATACCAACGATCAGTAGTACCTAATCATTTGCAAATAAAATTGGATAAATCTCATAATGCTAAATAAATAAAATCAAGAAGATGCAAGAAAGCTAAACGTTAAACGTTTGCATTTACTTTATGTGTTAAACTACTGCGTTCATTTAAAGAAACACAAAATCTTGATATTCTGTCATCAAACATGTGTTTGCAATTTTGAATTGATAATTGTTTTTT